AGGTCCATTGGTCATTGCAGCTTGACCTATTCCTGTGGATTCCCTTATTTCATACATGTTTTGATTGCACAACTTTGCAACAGTGGTATAGTACAGTTTCCCTTAGGGATCTATGCTTCTCTGTGACCTTCTGGTATGTGTAAGCAATTGATGATTGTTTTTTAATTAAAATGTCATTTTTTTTAAATTGGTAAATAATGGAGGTATTATTTCTAGGGGTTTTTATATGGCTTTGTATTGAATTAATAAATTGGCTGGAAGTTACGCTGCCTAGTCCTTCTTTAGTAACTACTTTCAACTTTCCTTTGTCTTTGAATTTATGATGGACCAATATTTTGGTTACGAGGAAAGCACCTTATGAACTTCTATGGTGAGTCAGTAAACCTCAAGCGGAGCTCCACCCAAAAGGGAAAGTTCAACTTTAAGGACTGGTTCCCCACTCCCTGTGAAGAATTGGCACTTTTGGGGAGCGGGTACCCGATTGTGACAGGTGCCCACTTTTACTTCCATTCCAACTGCTTGGGGAATGAGAAGCGATAGTTGGCCTCCCTCACTCCCTCCACGCAGTCTTCTGGGACACATGAGGTCCCAGAAGGCAACAGGACTGCGCATGCACAGTGGGCACCCAGCTGTGACAGCTTGCACACTTAAGATGCTGGCTCAGGGAAGAGAGAGTGGCTGGTGAACCAGGCTCATATGAACACACCGCTGTATCGTAGGACAGGTGAGTGGTTGTTATTTAAAAGTCAGGAGCTACAGTTTTTGTAGCTGCTTACTTTTAATTTTTTACTGACCAGAGCTCCATTTTAAAAATACAGTGGGGCAAAAAGGTATTTAGTCAGCCACCAATTGTGCAAGTTCTCCCACTTAAATTCCGCAAATAAATTCTTTCCAAATCAGCCAATGCGATTGTTTGGATTTTTTTTTCTCATTTTGTCTCTCATAGTTGAGGTCTACCTATGATGCCAATTACAGGCCTCTCTCATCTTTTTAAGTGGGAGAACTTGCACAAGTGGTGGCTGACTAAATACTTTTTTGCCCCACTGTATATTTAAAGGTGGTGGATGCCTTTAGTTTTTTGCTCAATCCCCAGTATTATTTAAATTGGTTTATGATTCTTTTTAATATTGGAAGGGCTATTTGAAGGGGGCACAGTGTTGGAACTGGAAGTGTATGTATGCATATACTTATAGATATTATTAACCTCCTAAGCTAGTACCCTTTCAGCAGGGAACAACCGAATTTAGAATCTCGTATAGGCAGGGTGGTTGTACAAAAGATGATCTGTACAACCGACCTGTCAGAAATTCTATTCTGGAATATAAGCGTGGTGTGTGTGATGCCATTTTTTGAGTCATGTACACATTGGCCCTGCCAGTAATTGCCAGTAAATATTGGCTGGAGAGGAGTGGGTGGGGGTGAACTGCCCCTGGGGTGAAAACAAACTTTACCGTCAGGAGTGGGGACACAGGGAACTGTCGATGCTACCAGAGTGGCAAGTGTTTGTGTGTGTATGTGGATGCAGTGTGTATCTATGTTGTATGTAGTGCGAATGTATGTTACATGTATTTTTCTGTATGTGTATGCAAGTTGTATGGAGTCTGTACATAGGTGGTACTGCTGTGCTATACATAAGAGGGTGGAGGTGAAGAGAATCACAGGGGTTTCTAGTCCCTAGCCTGTATAAAAGTCTGACTCCTGTACTATGCAGGTAACACACCTGACCCCCACATGTTGTACATTACACTCCTGACCCCTGCACTATGTAAGTTATCCACTCCAGACCCAAGCAGTATGTACTTTACCCAACCGTGACCTCTGCACTATGTACTTTACCCAACCCTGACCTCTGCACTATGCACTTTACCCAACCCTGACTTCTGCACTATGTACTTTACCCAACACTGACCTCTGCACTATGTACTTTACCCAACCTGGACCCCTGTGCTATGTACGTTACATATTTCTGACTCTTTTACTCTGTAGGTAGGCTATAGGCTCTCTCCTGCTGTTAGCACAAATGGTGCCACACCCGCCATGCCCTGCCACAATATACATGCTCCTATTAGCCCCACCTATCCATACTCCATCCCTGCTCTCAGGAAATCAGATTTTCAAAAGTCTCCAGGTATGTGATCTACTCCAAACTGGCTGCAGCTAAAGAGGGCACTTGTTTTAGGTCCCATTCATATTTCGTGTAGCAGGAATTTATGTTCCTGCTTGCAATTTGTGGGGACGATTTTTACGCAATTCCGTGTGTTGCATATAGGGCAGCCCTTTCACTTCATTGGGCCGCTCTATTGAGCGTTTGAAGCTCCTGCTCCTTTTTGGGCGACAAGCTTTACACAATTTAATAATGATTTAATATTTAAATTCTACAGTATGGTAACAATGGGACAGCACGCTGAGGCAGGCTGTTAGTTGGAATTACCAGATGCTGGAGGCACAGGGAATCTGTGAGAAGAGGGCCTGCAGTGGGAGGAGGGAGGCAGAGGGACTGGTTGAAAGGTGAGTCAGCAAGCCATGAGAAAGGAGACAAACTGATGCAGACAGGTGAAGCTCCAGGCATGGTGAGAGTGTAACACAGTGACAGGACTGACCACCAGAGCTGGGGGTACTGTGGGAGCTTTGTGAGTACAAAACAAGGCAATGTGAATATTATTGAAGCACTGGGAGTAACTTGGAGTATTCTATATTTTGTTGTTTAAATTTGGAGTACTGGGAGTATTTTTAGAGTAGCTTGGAGTACTGGGATTATTTTTGGAGTAACTTAGAGTACTGGGAGTAACTTCGAGTACTGGGAGTACTTTTGGAGTAACTTGAAGTACTGTGAGTATTTTTGTAGTAACTTGGAGTACTGGGAGTATTTTTGGAGTAGCTTGGAGTACTGGGAGTATTTTTGGAGTAACTTGGAGTACTGGGGGGGGGGGTAATTTGGAGTACTGGGAGTACTTTTGGAGTACTGGGAGTATTTTTGGGAATATTTTTGGGTAACACGGAGTACTGAGAGTATTTTTGCAGTAACTTGGAGTACTGGGGTAATTTGGAGCAAGTAGAGTAATTTGGGTAACTTGACATTTTTTGGGGGGCACATTGGAGTACTGCAAGTTGCTTAGAGTACCAGGTATATTGGAAGTAACTTGGAGATTGGGAGTAACTTGGGAGTGTTGGAAGTTATTCAGGAGTGTATGAAGTAACGTGGGAGTGTTCTGAGTAACTTGGAGAGCTGGGAGTAATGTGGAGAAACTTGTAGTGCTGGGACAGTGGGACTTGGATTTAATTGGAGTTTTGCGGGTAATTTGTAGTATCCCAAACAGATTAGGGTTAAGCAAGGAGGTCTAGAATACTTATATATGTTAAAGAAAAAAATGTTTTTCCTAGAATATCCCCATTAGGTAAGAGGGTAAAATGTCCAACAAGATTGGTGACACAACCCAGTGCACATCTTGCTCCATGTATAGGTTCCTTGAAGGGCCATTCGAGGGTGAATACTGCTGTGCAAGGTGTGAGCTAGCTGTTTCTCTGGAAGCTCAGATCCTGGATCTAGAGAATCAGGTGGCAACACTAAGAATGAACATGGAAAGGAGCTAGACATTATCCAGCAGGTGCTGGCGGGGGGGCAGTATAGAGGGGGGAGAGGATTTGGAGGTGCAGGAGCCAGAGGTAGGTAGCTGGGTGACGGATAGAAGGAGGGGTAGAGGGAAGAGCCTTAGAGAGTCTAGCCCTGAGTTGAAACATCCCAACAAATATGCCAAATTGCATGATGTTGGGGATATCAGCTCAGAGGTGGCACGAATGGAAAGGTCTCCCTCCCCTAGTTGCCAGGGGAATGACTGCTTCGGAAAGGAAGGGGGCAAGGATACAGCCAGGGCTAGGCAGATACTGGTGGTAGAGGGCTCAATTATTAGGAGGACAGATAGGGAAATTTGTCACAAAGACCGCAATCACCTAACATTATGTTGTTTACCAAGTATATAGATTCAGCATATCATGGATTGGATGGACAGATTGTTGGGTGGGGAGGACCCAACTGTCATAGTGCACATTAGGACCAATGACAGAGTTAAAGGAAGGTGGAGTGACCTTAAAAATGATTTCAGGGACTTAGGGGCTATATTGAAGAAAAAGACCTCCAAGGTGGTATTCCCAGAGATACTGCCTGTACCTCGAGCCACATTAGAGAGGCAGCAGGTGCTAAGAGAAATTGACAATTGGCTGAGGAATTGGTGCAGGAAAGAGGGAACACTGGCCTTACCTCTCGCTCGGTTACCAGCTCTATAGTAGGGATGGACTGCACCTTAATGACGAGGGTGCAACTCTGCTGGGGGAGAGAATGATGGCCAAAAAGTTAGAGGGGCTTCTAAACTAGGTAGTGGGGGGGGATCAAAGGAAGCAATAGCCAACAATAAGAGAAGGTCAGAGGGTGCTATAACCAAAATACCTAAAACCTAGGAAACTGGGCTGGCTAAACAAAAACAAAAACACAGCCACATAGACCATAGATGTGGAAATACAGGACAACTTGGGAACCAGTGATCACAGGATAATTACTTTTAGCATTAATCATAGGAAGAGGAGACACATGGGTAGTACAAGAACGCTAAATTTCAAAAGTTAACTTTTCTAAACTGTGCTCAGTACTACAAGATAATAAATGTGACCAAATCCTAGAAACATTGAACACTGAGGAAAAATGGGAGTACTTAGGAACATATTAAATAGAGGTATCGTTCAGTGTATTTCAATGGGCAAGAAATATAAAAGAGCTAAGGTTAAACCTGGGTGGCCAAACTTTACTGTTAAAAGACATATTAACCACTTGCCCTCTGCCCTATAGTAGAAATACTGCTACAGAACGGCAGGGCTGCTCAAAATCACGTATACATATGTGATTTTCATTTCCGGGTAGGGGACGCGCGTGCGTGCGTGCGCGCGCTGCCCTACTTGTGCAGACATTGGCAGCTACAGATGTCAATTACCGGGTCCTGGACGGAGTAACACTGACAGGGGAGAGACCTGTGTGTAAACAACACAGGTCTCTCTTCTGCCAGCAAGAACGTGCTGCTGTGTATTTCTCTGTACAGCAGAGAAATACACAGCAGCATGTTTCCCTAGTAAAACACACACAGCACATTATGTAAACCAGTACACAGTTAACCCTTTGATTGACCCAGATGTTAACCCCTTCCTGTCCAGTGTCATTAGTACAGTGTCAGTGCCTTTTATTAGCACTGATCACTGTATTACTGTTATTGGGGTGTCAGTTGCAATTAGTCAGTTCCCCCCCAGTGTCAGAATGCCCGCCGCAGTCCCGCTATAAGTCGCTGATTGCCGCCGTTACTAGTATACAAAATATATAAATAAAAATTCCAGTATATATTCCGCCATGTTTTATAGCAAAAAATAAAAAATATTGTTATTTTCAAAATTGTTGGTCTGTTTTTGTTTATAGCACAATAAATAAAAAACGCACAGCTGATCAAATACCACCGAAAGAAAGCTGTATTTGTGGGAAAAAAAGGTCATAAATTTAATTTACATACAGTGTTGAATGACTGCGCAATTGTCAGTCAATGTAACACAGCACCGTATCGCAAAAAATGGCCTGGTCAGGAAGGGGGGTAAATCCTCTGGAGGGCAAGTAAATGGCCTTTAAAAAACATAAGGCAGAGGTGTCATTGCAATAAGAAGTGTAAAAATGGAATCAGGGCAGCTAAGATAGACCACGAGAGACACATAGCAGAGGAAAGGAAAACAGTCCCAAAAAATTCTTTAAGTATTATAATAGTAAAAAAGCAAAGTCAGAACATATTGGCCCCAGAAAAGATGCTGAAGGGACGTTGTTCACAAACGACAAGTAGAAGGCAACTGCATTAAATAAATTCTTCTCCTCAGTTTTTACTAAGGAAAAGGAGGGGTTTAGTAATCATGACTGTATCATTAGTAGCGTATCACAGAGTGTACTCCTGTGGTTTACAGTAGCCGGTGTCTGAAAAAGACTTGAAAAGCTTAACACAAATAAATCTCCAGCACCAGATGACTTACACCCGAGAGTCCTCAAAGAACTCAGTCTGGTTATAGCCAGACCGCTATTCCTAATTTTTAAGGCTAGTATGCTGACAGGAATAGTACCAGCTGAATGGCAAAAGGCCAACATGGTACAAAAATTTTAAAAAGGGCAGAGATATATTCCTGGAAGCTATAGGCCAGTATCTTTAGTAGTAATCAGCATAGTTTTACAAAAGGTCGATCTTGCCAAACCAGTCTGTTAACATTCTATGAGGATGTAAGCTGCCATCTAAATAAAGGAAGGCCTGTGGATTTTAGTTTACCTGGATTTTGCTATACGGTTCCCCATCAATGCTTCATTTACAAACTGAGGACTGTAGGCATGGACCATAGGGTTTGTTCATGGATAGAAAACTGGTTGCAAGGGCACGTCCAAAGGGTGGTGATAAATAGTGTGTATTCAAACAGGTCTAGAGGGGCTAGTGGGGTATCCCAGGGCTCTGTCCTGGGACCAATTCTAATTAGTGTATTAGTAAATGATATAGAGGTTGGTATAAATAGCTCAATCTAAGTTTTTGTTGATGATACAATGCTAAGTAGGGCAATAACTTCACAGCAGGATATAGAAACTTTACAAGAAGACCTCAATAAAATAAAGCAGTGGGCAAATACACATGGCAAATGAGGTTTAATATTGAAAAATGTAAAGTAATGAACTTGGGAGATAAAAATACTAATGCAAATTACTCGCTAGAGGAAGAACCCCTGGGGGAATCCAAGATGGAAAAACATCTGGGGGTCCTAGTGGATGACGGACTCAGCAGTGGCATACAATGCCAAGCTGCAGCAAGTAAAGATGGTAGAATTTTAGCATAAAAAAGGGTATTTACTCATAAAACGATAATCCTACCACTTTACAAAACTCTGGTTCTGCCACAGCTGGAGTATGCCGTCCAGTTCTGGCTACTAGTCTTCAGGAAGGATGTGCTAGAACTGGAGTGAGTCCAGAGAAGGGCAACAAAGTTAATAAGGGGCCTGGGGGACCTCCGTTACGAGGAAAGACAGCAAACATTAAACTTATTCTCCCTGGAGAAGAGAGGCTTGAGAGGAGATATGATATCGATATACAAATACCTCAGTGGTGATTCTAGCATAAGGAATAAATTATTCTTCCCAGGGAGTATAAGAAGACATGAGGCCAATCAATGACATTGCAGGAGAAGCAGTTTAGCGTTAAAGTGCGTAGGGTTTTTTCACTGTGAGAGCAGTAAGGACACCCCCTTCCACAATTGGTGGTGTCAGCAAGAAGTATCGATAGTTTCCAAAAGCTCCTGTATGAGCATCTTTGTGAACACAGTATACAAGGATATGGGATCAGCGTTTTTGACATGAGCACACACCCACCCACACCCACACAGGTTGAAACGCATGGACTGGTGTCTTTATTCAACCTTACCAACTATGTAACTAAGTAACAATTTTATGATGGATGACCCTGTGACTCACTGGTGCCTCAGCATTGGTCCAGCACTGTCACTGGTGGAGGAAAAGTCCACCGCCCTTTTGTAAGCTCCAACCATTCAGTTTGGAGCTTACATAGGACTTTATTTTCCCTATACTGGAAGTCATACAGAGCAGATGCTGGGAAGGTGGGAAGTTAAGTGACCCTTTTGCTTTGTTAGGCATGGGCAAGCAAAGGGGGTCACGTTAACAGGAAAAAAAAAAGCATAGTCAGGCCCCAGCGAGATTTGAACTCGCGACCCCTGGTTTACAAGACCAGTGCTCTAACCCCTGAGCTATGGAGCCAGTGAGTATAAAGATCTCTAAGTATATAGATCCACACCCTTGTTTGTCATACATGAGCTCTTACTAGACTGCATTTGGTGTGTAACTACAATTCATTTCTTTACAATCCACCTTGTAACTGCTTACCAAATAAGCAAATTGCACAATTAACATGAACTCATTGATGAACTCCAGGTTCAGACACAAATATTGTAGCTCTGTGATTATTAATAGATCATTAAACATATTTTATGGTTGCATATGTTTATTTAAAGGCGTACAAATAAAATATTCACAGCATGTACAGGCTGTAGAAATCAACAAAACAATGAATAACAGCCATGGGCAGAGCCATTCTGAAAACTCAGATATTAGGTTCTAATGTAGTACATCTAGTCAGAGTAATACAGCTTAACCTGTTCCCGACTGAGCTATAGCCAAAAGATGGCTACAGTGTGGTCTTTCAGTTCTGGGAGGGTGTCCATGGACGTCCTCTCGAGAACGTGCTCCATTTGGCAGTGGCATCACTAGGATTGGTGTCACTTGGTGTGGTAAAATGTGGTGTCACCCCCCCCCCCATCTAGCAAGCTAGTTTTGGGACGGCAGCAACAGCAGCGCACCCCAAACCAGCCTCTGTAAATGGTGTCGGTGTTCTGATCAGTGCGCTCTCACGGATGCGGGTCACACTATTGTGATTGGATATCACTTTCTACTTGATGGTGTCACCCAGGCCCATTTTTTTTTCTTTTAAACCAAATTACAAGTATTGGCAACTACCAGTTTCATGTAATACTTACCTGCTCTGTAATGGTTTTGCACAGAGAAGCCTGGATCCTCCTTTTCTCTGGCTTCTCCCCCTGACCAGTGCTCCCAAAAGCAAGCCGTTTTCTATGGGGGCACATGAGTCTGCTTGCTCCTGAGCCGCAATCTATGTGTCAGTAAGACACACAGAGCCATGGCTTGGCCCTGCCCCCTACTCCCTCCTCACTGACAGTGATTGAAGACAGTAGGAGCCAATAGCTCCCGCTGCTCAGCCAATGAGGAGAGACCCGGGAGAGCTACTGCTCCCTTGCACATCGCTGGATAAAGATTGGGCTCAGGTAAAATTTAGGGGGGCTTGGCGGAGGATTACATAGAAAGTTTTTTACCTTCATACATAGAATGCACAAAGGTAAAAAAAAGTTCAAACTTTATAATCACGTTAACTCTTTTGGGGTGAGGGGAGAAGAGAGGTTAATTTATTTACAGTGCTATTTGTAATATGCAGCATGGAGAGGGTTAATGTACTCAATGACTCAGTGACCAATGGCAATTATTTACCCCTTTTTGCTGCATTAGTGGCATTAGTGTCAGTGTTTATAAACCCCTTCCTGCTGCAGCATAAAAGGGTTAATTAGCACTGACACTGGTGGTGCCACTGCCACTAATGCAGCACAAAGGGGTCAATTAATTGCCATTGGTCACTGAGTCATTGAGTACTTTAACCCTCTCCATGCTGCATATTACAAATAGCACTGTAAATAAACCCCCCCCCCCCCCCCGCCTCCAAAGTGTTAACCGCTTCAGCCAGTTCTCACAGCTAAGACACTGACACAACAGTACCTTAGGTAAGGTTAGCCACCCTGTTCACTCACTTGCTGTGCACATGGGTTCTGGCAACTCGCAGGTTGCAGTACTCTCCTTCTGTTCAGTCCCGTCTCCCGGCCTCTGAATCATGACATCATGCCATCCGGGACTAGGGCTGTCTGCCTGACAGGACCGGGCTGGGCACCACTGCAGCTCTGCTAGCATTAATACAGTGTGCAGTGCCAGCCCCAGTGTCACCCGGATGCGGTCTGCACCTACGGTTGCCACCTCATGCCTTTAAAACCGAACACATATTAATTACACAGCTCCTGAGGAAAATTTATTGCAGATAAGGCACCAAGTGAGTTTAATTACCACCTTAATCAGCCACAGAACCTGTGTAATCAATATGTGTTTGGTTTTAAAGGGATGAGTTGGCAACCCTACCCGCACACCCATAGCAATGCCACTTCCATCAGTGCCCATCATCCCTCTTATCGGTGCTGCCTCTTCAGTGGAGCCTCATCAGCACCCATCAGTGCACATTAGTGCAGCTGATCAGTTGTGCCCATCAGTGCCTCTTATCAGTGCTGCCTCTTCAGTGAAGCCCCATCAGTGCACATCAGTGTAGCTGACCTGTTCAGTCCCATCTGTGCAGCCTTATCTGTTCAGCCTCATCAGTGCAGTGCATTAGTGCACATCAGTTCAGCCTCATCAACCCCCATCAGTGCAAACTCATCAGTGCATATCAGTGCCCATTAGTACAGCCTGATCAGCACCCATCTGTGCAGCCTCATCAGGAACCATTTGTGCAGCCTCATCAGCACCCATCAGTGCTCCCCATCTGTGCAGCCTAATCTGTGCCTCCTCATCAGTGCACAGCAGTGCAACCTCATCAGTGCATATCAGTGCCCATAAGAGCAGCCGCATCAGCACCCATTAGTGCAGCCGCATCAGCATCCAGCAG